TATGAGTTTTCTACTTAGATGTTTTATCTAATTATAATGCCATCAATTTGGAAAAAATCTTTTATAGCGTTATAACTCATTAGATAATGCATATCGTATTGTAACGAGTTAATATCTAATAGATTACAATACATTATTCTTTTCTATCTCATTGTAAGTTCAATGAGATAGAATAAGTTCTATCTCATTGCAACGCGTTACAGATTAATGCATTATAATGCGACAGGAATTAGGAAACGCCCTGTAATGGCATTCAAATTACTAACGCGCTAGTCGAATTTATAGCGTTGTAACATTATAAAATATGAGAAAGTCGTTGATAAAAATGCATAACACTATAATTTCAATTTTTGGGCAGTTTTTTCCGCGTTACGCTAATGTCTTACAATGCATTAAAGATATGTTTTTTCTAAATTTATCGCGTTATAACACAATAGAAAAGCTAACACATTACAAGACATTACGATATACCTAACGTATTATAATGCAATAAATACGGAAAAAAGATCCTGTGGGAAGTCTGAGTGAAAACGTGTCGATTTCTGTTTTTGATGTTCTAGATTTGGTTTATCTGATGCTTCCTCTCTCGATACTACAAAAAAAGCTGAACAAAAAGAGAGAGAATCCTTACGTAGGTCATTCATAGCGATCAGTTTCAATAGAGTCAACACACTTTGTGTTCAGAGAGAGAGTTAAATTTAATGTTGTCATCATATCGCTATTTCATAGAAACATTTGTGAATTAGAGTACGAGCAAACAAACAATAGTAAAAAAAAAACTAACGTTAGCCTTTATGAAGAAGTTATTTTCGAAGAAAAAAACTGAAGCAAAAAAATCATCAATAAATTTTTATTTTTGTTTTTAGATTTTGATAAGTTTTTAAATGAGAGTACAAAAACCAGTTATTCGTCATCGTTTCATTCGTTCTATTCTCGCTCGTTTATTATGTTCTATTCATATGGGTTTATCTATTTACGTTTTATACGAAATAAAACGGAATATGTACCTGTATTTTATTCCGGTGTTTGGTATAGTTATACTCTCGTTTGAATCATTTATCTCTTTAATCTGTTTTCAATGTAAAGAATTTTTTTCGCGGTTTTTCATTATTAGTTTTAATTTATTCAACAACAATCATTTCAACAATATGGATCCTTGAATTACATAAAATCTATGAACAAAAATTAAAAATTAATGTAGTCACAACTCAATACTACTATGTACCATGGCAAAAGCCTAGGGAATTTTTAAGAAATTTTAAATATTTATGGTCTCAGATTGAAATTCAAGTTTATCTATTTCTTCTCTTAGTTATACGATGGCTATTACCAAAACAACAATCAGTAACATATTATGGTAAATCAGATTTATTATTTAAATATTTTACTACCGCATTTGATATGCTAGATTTTCTTGATATGTTAAATTATCCAGAATTATATTCGAATGTTCGTCTAGTCTATTCGGCATTATCAGTATGGTCACTTAGTTGTTTACAATTTGTTATTTATGTACGAAATATTAATGATAATAAATTGAAAGAATTTCGTTCTTATTTAACAAATTCACTACTCGAAGTTCTATTTCTTGATATACCATTTTTATGTGTAAGAATTTATGCCATATTTGGTTGTGGTAAACATGATTATTATAGTTACTTTTTTACAACAAAAAATATACTAATGATTATTTTGTTACTGATACGTATACGAGCAATATTCGATGAAAAACGTCATCATCAAAAACAACAAATGAATAAATTGCAATCTACATCAAATTTTCATGTCAAACCGGTTAAATTGTCTAACGATAATAAACAACAACCATCACCACCACCACAACAACAACTGACACATTACTCAAATCGATATTTAATTCATAACCATAATAGAACGCAAGATCAAAGTTTCTCATCACAAAAGAAACTTATTTTCTCGAATCAACACCTTTATTCAACACAAATTATACCAAAACAAAATAATAGTCAAGATGCGGACACAGATGTTTGATTAACTGATGTAATAAATATTCAAAGTTGGACACATTACGATGATACTAATGCTAAGTATGCATTACTAAACAAATATGCGGTGAAATAAAGTGCAGCAAAGTAACAAAAAGCATCTCAAACCTCTGCATCTACCAACAAGATAGTTCAAATAATCGCTAAGAACAAGGCGTATACACTTAAGGAGTCTTCTACATAATTTATCTCTCTACATCTCTGTTATACGAACGTAGACGGACCCATAGAAGTTTAAGGTTTTTCATTTTTTTCCCCTCAATTTACACTTCTTTCCTTTCAATATGATATACACAAAATCTAATCGAAGGAGCTTTAAAAGTGTCCGCAACCTTGCCTACTTTTTGAAAAAAAACTTGACTATACTTACAAAAATTTCAGACAATCTAGACACTTTTCTGACGTACCCCATTTAACTAGATGAGAAAACAAATTAGCTTGCAAGAATTTATCTTTTTACTTAATCTATATACAAGGAAAACTAAACTATATCTGTGAAAATCAAAGCATAAGAGACATACTACGAAGCTATTTCTTTTTTCCTTTTGCTCCTGTGGCGGTCGCTACTTGTTCATCGGCCATTTTTGATGCCGCTTTAGCTAATTTTGATTTTTGTTGCAATAATTGTGCAAATAATTTCATGTCTGTTTCTTGTTCTTTTGTATCTATTGCCGATGTAGGCGTTTCACCCTCAGCTGCAGATGATATTTCTTTCGGTTCACCACTGACACCCATTAGTTCTTGTAATTTTTGTGCTGCTTGTTGCGTTTTCAATACTTTACGTTGTTTTTTCTCTTCAAGTTTTTGTTTTTCTTCAATTTGTAATAACATCATTTGCATTCTTAAAAAAAAGGAAAAAGATGAAACCTTGATTTGATTTTTGAATTTTAATATGTTTTACCTCTCATCATTTGGATCAACAGCAAATCCATAGTAATCTCGTGCTTGTTCGGCTAGAAAGAAAGATTTGTATATTAAGACGATCTAAAAGAGTATTTAATCAGCTTTTGAAGATTGATGATACTATGCTCAAGAATTATGTCACACTTTGTCGGAGACAAACGAATGATCTTCTATTCTAAAATTTTCGACTGAGTCATCATCAACTCTGCTATTCTGTAAAGATTTTTTCTTTCCCTTTCCAATTCACTGTCTTCCTTACCTAAATCACTTTTGACTTTGCTTTCAGCTTTCATTGCTAATTCTTTCTGAGCAGCTCGTGTTTGATAATCCGCTATCATTTTCGGCATATTTTTTAAATTCTTTTCAACTTTAGCTTGACTAAATAGAAGATAAAGTAATTTAATAATCATAGAGTTTAATGCAAATTTAATGCATTTAATGCAAATTACATTTGATCAATTTCTTTTTGTTTTGCTTCTTTTCGTTCTTTAACGATCCGAATTTTTTCTTTCAATTCCATATTATATAATTTTTCATCTTGAATTATTTCATCCATTTCTTCTTGAGTTGGCCAAGATAATTTGACATCAATACCACTTTTCTTTCCATAACGTCCATAGACTGAACGAAGTTTTTCACGTGTAAAATTTCGCTCAAGCAGTTCTAATGGCGGTAAACCTTTGAAAACACGATAAACATCGGCCTAAATAAAAGAATGGAAGATAGTATTCAGACATGATCGAAAAAGAGATTTCACTTACCGGTAAACGTGAGACATTGGTATCGACTGTAGCTATTGTTTGTGATGGTGTAGCATTTGAAGGTGTATTTGTTGTTGTAGAAGATACGAATCGATTGGATATGATATGATTAATTTTTGTACAATTAGGACAACGTATTTCTTTTAAAATGCAAAACATCTAAAAAGTCACTAGTTGTAAAACGTGGTAAATAGTAAACAGCCAGCTCATTTCATCTACGCGTTTCTTAAGAACATAAACGAAAAGCTCATAGCAAGGATTTTTCTTCTTTGTACAAGTCTATGAAAAAATTGCAGAAATAACTTAACAGAAAACAGTCTAAGAATTGAATTCATCTCTGTAACTAACTCTTACTTTGATGCAAGATTTTTTCTTTTATGAAACAATATAAAATCAGCTGCTCTGTTTGCAACTTGAAAATTTTCATGATGATGCTGACAATTTTGATTACCATTTAAGTTGTTCTTTCCAACTCATAAGATTTCTTAAGTTGGTTGCGCATACTAGATGTCGCGTCGCACCAATAACAAAGTATATCATGCCTTTGGCGCTTTATGTCAGCAGCTAAATCAAAATAATTGAAAAAGTTGCCGTTCGAACATCGTGACAAGACTTTAGGAGCTCTTGAATACGTAACATGATTGTTTTCAAAGCAAAGTACCCATGAGTTTGCGAAATTCAGATGTATATTGCTAGTATAAAGGAGTGTAAGTGTATACAAATAATTCTACATTCATCCATCACAAGTACGAGAACGAGTGTGACATTTGGAGAAAGACAGTCTCTATTGCCTAGGAAAGTAAACTCGCTTTTGTTGGATTTAATTTTTCTTTTTCAATTCGAATACTAAACTGAAAAGCACTACGATGAGCTTTAGTTAACGAGAAAAGTGAAAAAAATTGATAAATTCGTTTGGTTACAAACTCGACACAAGAATTTGTTTCTCCGAGATTACTTTTCTCTATAAACTTCAGAAATCGTCACATTCTGTGAACTTCATACGTTGGAATTTTACGTTCAGACATACTTTTTTCAAATTTTCAAAAGAAAGTGGAAATTTTCTCACACGACAGAACGTCGAGAACACATCCGGAATCCGTTACTGTCGACTCAAGGATACTCAGAATCAATTTGATTTGGAGAAAGACAGAACAGAAAAGATTCATTTCATAACAATAATTAAAATTTCTTATAATTTCTAAATTTTCCTATTAAAAAATAACAATAATAATACTACAAAACTAACAGTAGATAAAGACTTAGATTAATCTGATCCCATTGTCGGTCCACATAGATTTTGCTTCAGTTTCATGTTTACCAAATAATGATGAAAATAAATCATTTCTGAAAGACAAACTTATATTAGATGTATAATCAAATTTAAAACAGAATTTATTCCAATTACTTTGCATCCTCGGTAAATGTTGAGCGATCAGTAGGTGCCATGAAATTGACTAATTTTTTATGCACATTATAACGAATTTTTCTACCCTTACTTGCTTTTGTATCCACTTTCTTTTTGGATTTACTTCGTAGTTTTCTCAATTGTGCCCAATGTCTGTAAAAAAAAAAAGTAAAATAATATTTCATATTCTACTATTCATATTGATAGCTTGAACCTGCTAATTTGTAATGGATCAGTGATAGACGCTGTTTTTCGTTCAATAAATTCACGCAAAAGTTGATGATAAAAATCACCATCATCAAATATTTCATCATTAGATTCATTATTATTGTTTGAGGATACAAAATCATAGTCAATTCGACATGTTTTTGTACGTTTTATTAAACGATCGGGAATAGACATGATCTAAATGAGATAAAAGTGTAATAAAAATTACAGAAGGTCAGTGCAACTAACCTGTTTTATCTGGGTTAATGGTGATTGATCTATAATACCCGATTTATTTTTCTTTGTAAAAGTATGCGTTTTATCATACCATTTTTGGACAGTATCATCCCTTAAAATAATAATAGTTAATAATTCTACTTTCAAATATATGAACTAGTGTTTACCTGTATGGTATAAAACTATCATAAACTTGTTTAATTTCATCATCTACACAATCAACATCACGTCTAAGACGTTTAGAGATAGTTTTAAACATTTTTGTAGTTGATTGTTCGTCATCAATGTCTTCATTCTCTGATTCACGTTGTCGTTTTAACGACGATTGACCTGACAACTTTTGTGTAATAGCCAATAATAAGGCAATGTTTTTTCGAAGAAGTGTACTATCTAGCAAAGAAAATAAACACACAACACTATTCTTCTGAGGCATAAACAAAACTAGCAGAGAAGTTCTTCATCATCCTCATCAACATAAAATCTTATTCTTACTTTCAAGCATAACCTGGGATAATTTTTCGTCATTCATTTGAGTAGAATTTTGTGGTAAACAATTACAAGTGATACATGCTTTTTGTAATTTAATACGTAGTTCAAGAAATGAATCCCACAAAGCTATAACGTAAAATATTTTATATCACGTTGTTGATAGACAATAAAATGATCAAATTACGTACAAATCTGTCTTCGAACCGCTTCTGCTTTTTTCAGATCGGTAGTTTTTGTTCGTGAATCGCCATTCTCCAAATGATGTTTCTGTTGTTGATTAATATCTGCCGGTAGTTTTACGACTGTGCCATCAATATCTACATCTTCTTCTTCTTCGACTTCTTCTTCATTAATAATAACATCTTCTAAACACAGTCACATGGTTCTAAACAAACATCCAAATTCAGTAAAAAAAATGGTACTTACCATCATCAGATTGTGACTCTTCCTCATTTGTTTCGTCTGATGGTTCGTCTTCTTGTTCAATTTCATCTTCATTGTCTGAAGAGAAAAAATATGCAACGATTAAGTAGTATAAGAGAAGAAAAAATGATTACCATTTTCAAATGCAAGATGTCGTGATATTTGTTTGCCTTGATAACGTTGATCTACATCAGATAATAATACACTTTTTTTACGTGGAAACGGATATTCTAATTTTTCTTCATTTTCATCAGCAAATTTTGGAACAACAACTGCAGCTGTTTCTAAATCAAAATAAAGGTGATTGTAGACATAAAATTGAGGATAGTAAACGAACTGAAAATACTCACCATCATCAGATATTGAGTCTGGATCGTAAATAGTTGGTTTTGTCGAAGATAATTCTTGTAATTGTTTAGCAAGTGTCATTTTAACTAATCTGAAAGATGTTTTGTTTATAGCAAAAATTTGATGTCCTTGATTGTTTAACTATTTGCTACCATATCAATAGAAGGTAAGAATGAACATTTATCAACTCATAAGCATTTATTTTTAAAATGTGTGCCAAAAAATGACAACTTTTTACTCTGATTGGGCATTAAAGATAAGTCTTGAACATTCTGTTTATAGTAAACTTTTTTAATTTACAAATCTTCATTATTTACTACTAAACAGAGTTTTCTAGCAATCTAAATTGAAACTGCGAATTTTGTAACAGCTACAATCACTTTTTTGTATTGGCAACACGAAATATTACATTATTTCATTTTTCTATATTTTTTTCCGTTGTAATTTTTACCTTTATTTATATAAGAAAAAAAGTCAAAATTTCTAGTTGCTTTTTTCTTTTTCTCGTTCTAAAAAAATTACAGAGAGAAAAAAAGATAATGAAAAAGAAAAAGTGTAAAACAAAACAATGAACACAAAAAGAAAAAATACAAGAAAAAACCAACAACAATAAGTGCTCGAACACAGAGGACGCCTTTTCTTTTTTGGCTGACAACAAGGAAAACAAATAAACATTGTTCTGTTAAGAAAGTTCCGTTTGAGGAAAGAGAGAAGGATGTTAACAACGCACACCGACGTAAATAAGGTTGTATCTACACACACCGACACACAAAATATCATCTTATATACAAAGACGACAGTCAAAAAAAGAAATAGCGGTTCTATTTTTTTCAGCTAGCTTTTGAAAAATAAACAAAAGAAGAAGATTTGTTGTTGTTTGTCCTTTTCTTTGCATATACAAAAAAAAAAA